TGCACAACTGACAGGTAGTAGCTCATGTAATTGAAGAGAGAGCATGGCACATTCACTGAAGAAATTCTGTGAGGAACGGAGGAGTGGTTTAATGTTTGCCTACTCCATCATGTGCAGTAGATCGGTTGTTCTGAAATTGCAGTTTGCACAGCAAAGCTTTGTGAAAATAGCCTTTCAGCCTGGTTTTCATAGCATCTGCAGCTGGCCAGATTTCTAACTGAGAAGCCAGCGTAACGATTCTGAAACTGCTCTATTAGAAGAGTAGAGGAAACACTGGGGATCAGAGCTCCTGGTCATGATCAAGACACCTTTACGTTATCTTCAGAATCCTCTCTGCTGTCTCGGGCCATTGCCCCTGTTCTAATGTTTGTTATGAGCTTATTTCTAGGATTTAGTCACTTGAGTGCAGAAAACGTTGCCTAGACCCAAATTTAGACCAGCCGTTCCCCTGCTGTAGACAGATTACATATTAATCATGGCTCTCCAGTTAACTTTAGAATTTCAGAGACTGGATATAATCCTGAAGGGCATTAACACTATTATCTTTATTCATACATTCTTCCTAGGCACTCAAGCCCTACCTCCCCTCTTTTCTCTGGGCTACCATCAGTGCCGCTGGAATTATGAGGATGAGCAAGATGTCAAGGCAGTAGATGCTGGCTTTGATGAACATGACATTCCTTATGACGTGATATGGCTGGACATCGAGCACACGGATGGGAAGAGGTATTTCACCTGGGACAAGAAAAAATTCCAGAACCCCAAAAGGATGCAGGAACTTCTCAGGAAGAAAAAACGCAAGGTAAATAACACAGCAGGAAGGAAGGGAGTATTTCCTTGTAGTGTGAAGATATTCAAGCTAGCTTTAAGCAAATACTATAAGCAGTTTAACTACAGCAGGATAAATTAGATTGTGTTGCAGTCTGTGATGCTTCCAATATGCAAGATATTTCATTTAATCCAACTCCTCATGCCATTATATTATTCAGTAGTTTGTTCTATACTCTGACCATCAGGAGAGGCTTAACATGTGTGAAACTGCATCTTACAAAAGCAGCCCTGTCCTGTCCTGGATACATAGCTGAAAATCCTCCTGCTTAACATTGTGAAATCTCCCCACTAGCAATTGTTAACCTTGCTTCAGCTTCTCGCTTTATTAAAAATATTTTTTACTTCCTGCTTGTATTAATTGGGATTTGCCCTTTATGTTGATAGGATTTATTACCATAGACCTTTCTCTTAGCGTAACATCTTTTCTCTAGAATTACAGAGATATGAAATGTACACATTTAAAATCTAAAAGTTGTAAAATGGCTGAATACTTAAATGCTTTGGCCAAAAACCAATGCTCAGAGAACTGTTGCAATAGCATTTGAGTTCTATAGTCTTCAACCTTATAGCAGAGCAGTTAATAGCAGCAGATGATAACTGCAAAATACAGTATTTGCATGTTTTTTTTGTTTGTTTTTTTAGAAACTGTTACTGTGTATGTTATACAAACTAAGATATAGTAAAAATCTTGAGGCAAATGGTCTGTCAGACACATCACTACTCAAGTGAGAAATAAGTATATTTTCCCATCCACAGAATACAAGAGTGAATTAAATACAGTTTTTAGGGGGCTGGGGTACTTGCTTTCCTCTGAAACGATGTGCGGTTGGCCCTTATTTTAGAGGGCTAGGCATTAATTCATCTCCTTGCAAATTCATCTGTTTTGCATAAGTACAGCACCATATATACATACACACAGCACACAAACACTGGTAACTGCTTTCTAAAATTAGTGACAGAGCTACCTCCTTTATCCAAAATGAACTCTTTGTCTCCTTTTTAGCGGATGTGAACTCCTACTGGAGTACTCAGTAGAGCTGATGCTAATCATGCATTTCTTTTTCTTACCTTGGCAGCTTGTCGTCATTGTAGATCCCCACATTAAAGTTGATCCCAAGTATGCCCTATATTCACAGGGCAAAGACAAGGGGTATTTTGTGAAAGATAGAAATGGACAAGATTTTGAGGGCATCTGTTGGCCAGGTAAGAGTCCTTCTGTTTCTGCATTTCAAGCTGTTTATTGTATAAGTCTTGCAGAATATTTTATTCAGGACCCAAGCAAGTAGAATTAATTTCTTACAATCCATGCACACCTTGTGGCTCCTTTGGCTTTTGTATGTTCATGTGCTAACCATTTCAACTAAAAATCTGTTGGCTCTGCACATAACCACCGTGTCTAGAGCTAGGAAAATTGGGTTGGTTGAGCAGAACAGCTGTACATCCTCCCCAGCTCATCCTGGGTAGTGCAGATCAAGTATAGTTTGTTGTAGTGAACGCAACAGATATAAGCTGGATGAAGTTAAACAAACCATGATACTGATGATATGTCTTTGATTGAGTGATTATACAGTGATTCTATATGTTATTTTTCATGAGAAGATCTCAAAGTGCTTTACAAAGGAGGTTGTCCCACGAAGCATGCAGTCACAGCAAAGGAATGACAAAGAAAATGGAAAAAGTCAAGGATATACTACAACCTCCAGTAGTATGACAGTGTTTACATTTTACTACTTTAATCTGCATGTGCCTGTGTATAAGCATAGAACTGCAACTGCAGCTCTCTCATGAGGCTCAGGACATAGTTATTCAGCTTCTGAGTGGCACTTTCATTTCTGAGATCAGAACACAAAGGCTTCTTCTTCTCCTTGGCTCCCTGCTTCATGTCTGAGCATACTTCAAAGTGCTGTCAAACATCCCTAAACTGTGCTGAGCTTCAGACTTCCAGAGTCCGTGTTTGTGTGCTGAGCATGGTCAAGGGCATACTGACTTACATGTCAGCTTACATTTGTTCCTGAGCTTTTGTCACAGAAACAGTAGTACACACAGCATTGCTGCCTCTCTGTATTTAGATGCAAAGACAAGGCACATTTTTAAGATCAGGTCAGTAATTGGGATATCCTGAATGTGCAGGTTCTTCTTGTTATCTGGATTTCACCAATCCTGAAGTACGAAAATGGTATGCGGATCAATTTGCCTTCAAAACATACAAGGTTTGTACTGATTTGTACGGATCTAAACATCCCAGAAAGTCTTAAAATGGGGAAAAGCGAGAAAGAGAGAAGATAAACTATGGGCTAAACAAGTCCTTGGCTTTTACTTTCTTCTCCAGCACAATAATACCACTGTACCTTGATAAGTTAAAGTACTACATAGGATTTTTTCCATGGCCTTGTCTACACTAAGAAAGTTTTGACCCATACTCCACCGTTGAAATGGTTCACCTAGTTGTAGCAGCATAATGGGCAGAGTAGAGGCACTTTAGCAATTCATCATCCAGCACAGCTGCCCCATATCCATTTTTTTCTACCTTGACAGTACACAGGAAGTGAAGTGGGATTAAGGAATGTGAAAGATTTTCTAGCTATTCCCATCTCAGTGACCTCTGAAATGAATTCTCTGAGGGATTGGAGAGAAGATTGCAGTCATCCCAGTCACATCACTTTAACCTTCCTTCCATTCTCATCTACCTCCCAGCATTACCACCCACTCCTGAAAATGCCTGCCTGAACACTGCCAGAAACCTCCAATTTTCTTCCCTGCATTGAAGTCCTGCATTGTGGTAGGGGGAGTTAAAAATCACTCCCTGCTGTGTAAGCTGGCATTTCCCACACTGCTTTTCCTGTCCTTTTTTCCTCTTCTGGGCTTTTCTGATTTTTCCTCATGCTGTTCTAATACTTCTCTTTTGATCTTCCCTGCCTTTTCACCCTCATCAGAAGGCAGGAATATCAGGCAGCTTTGGTCAGCTTTGTGAGAACTGCAAAAAATGAAATGATTTTGGGGGCTGCCATCCTTGACTGAAGGTCCACCAAGAGAGACAAAAGCTGCCAGTCATTCCTCCCAAGTGGCCACAGGAGAGTAATTACCATTTCCTGCTGCTGTTTCTACTCATAGCCCAGGCTGGCCTGCCACCCACTAGAGATGAACATGGTGCATCGTGGCAGCAAGTTTGTTATATCCTATTTGCCACTGTGTGTTACAGGGGTCAACTGATATCCTCTTTGTGTGGAATGACATGAACGAGCCTTCAGTCTTCAGAGGGGCAGAGCTAACAATGCAGAAGGACGCTGTGCACTACAGCAGCTGGGAGCACCGCGAGGTTCACAACCTCTACGGGTTCTACCAGGTAAAGGGGCTGGGGACAGTTTGCCTCATACCTTGTACTTCTGGTGCGGTGAGAGTTGTATTCATGCATGACTAAGTGCTGTGCAGTCTCCGTCAGAGGTTGAGAGTCTGTTGTGCTAGTACTGCTCCATTTGAAATACACTCTCTGTGACTGAGCACAAGACAGCACAACAATGTTCAGTCCTTCTCTGCTGTGTCAGTATAATGACATTAACTGTAGCTATTTAGCTGTAGCTAGTAATTTATTTTGCTCAAATATATCCTAGTAAGAATGTGTACCTTTAATAATACCTATTATTTGTGGATACATATTTCTTATTTTTCCTGCCTTGGAAGGGAAAAAAAAGGCAGTGTAGCAAATAACCTAACTAGAGAGTTTATCTCCCTGACATTTATCCTCATGATTTTCAGCAAATGGCAACTGCAGATGGACTCATCAAACGTTCTTTGGGAAAAGAGAGACCATTTGTCCTCACCCGATCTTTCTTTGCTGGATCACAAAAGTATGGTAAGCCAGAATTAGCTTTCTCTAGTGCTTTGTTTTGTGAAGCTGGCTATCGAGTAGTTAAATACATAGGAGCACAGAAACTGTGCAAGAAAGAGTTGAAAGGGCTAGCTCATAAGCATGCAACTCATTCAAAATCTCAGGAAAGGTTGGCAGAATGTGTGCAAATTAAAAGCAGGATAACAACCTGTGTCTGGTGACACATCACCACCAACTTTTATCGGTTATTTCAGGAGCATGTTGCATGAGGTAAAACAGTTGAAATGAACAGCAGTTCACCATTTTTTTTCCCTTAACTGCAAACATAAGCTGAACTGTACACACAGCTTCATTCTGTAATCCTGGAAATGGTTGTTTTCAGGTGCAGTGTGGACTGGAGACAACAAAGCAGAGTGGGAATACTTGAAAATCTCCATTCCGATGCTGCTTACTCTCAGCATAGCAGGGATTTCATTCTGTGGAGGTAAGGTGTTCATCTGTAGTTCCTCAATCTGAATAGACCACCAGTTCCACCAACTTTGTATCCCCAGATAGGTTTCAACAAAGATGGTGAAAAGCTCCGACACACCAGCGTATTTCCAGACAGTTTCACGGAAAGGTTTCAGAAGCCAACAACCCTGCTCTCTTCTCCGCTAATGTTTGCAAAAATGTGTTTTTTTTTTTTTTTTTTTGTCTGCACACTGTCTAGCTGATGTGGGAGGGTTTATTGGAGACCCAGAACCAGAACTACTTGTTCGCTGGTATCAGGCTGGAGCCTACCAGCCCTTCTTCAGAGGCCATTCTAACATGGAGAGCAAACGGCGAGAACCATGGCTCTTTGGGGAGAAGAACACCCAGATCATCAGGGAAGCCGTCAGAGAGCGCTACCTCCTGCTGCCCTACCTCTACACGCTCTTCTATCGGGCACACACAGCAGCTGAACCAGTTATGAGGTAAGAAGTTGCTGAGGAGCTTTAGTGATTGTCTTCAGGAAGTCACTTGGAAGAGGAAAGTTAAACTACTATCTCTTACTTTCATGATTACTGTTTAAATATTCAAAAACACAGAAATGACTGAAGTATATTTTCTCGCTTTCCGCAAGCCTCAGTAGAATGCCTGTAGGAAAATTACATGTTTTTTTTTTCAGATGAGACTTGGAATGCACTGATTCAATGAACATTGCACACAAACAATCTCAGATATGTTTAAAGTAGCAGTGTCTAAATTTCTCATAAGAACGAATATTATCTATTATTCTAACCTACATTTCAACAGTACTAACACATTCTGAACTTGCTGACCTAAAATAATAAAGGTCTTTTATAAAAATACTTATTTTTACTAAAATATTACTATTATAAAAAGCTTATTTCATATTGTTAACGTGATAATTTGTCTTTTTAGTATTTCATATTATTGTTCCTTTAGTAGAAAATCTAATGATGTAGAGCAGAAATAAATTGGAAAATGAACTTTCTGCTGTTCTCTGACCTCTAGAAATGTGCCTCAGGGGAATCAAATGTTAACAGTCCTTTCAGAAAAAGATGAATATCACCCATCTCCCTAGTATTGCTGTGTCTCTGAGGTTGCCCTAGCCCTGTCCTTTTACACCCTATTTTGTCTTTATTCATTGCTGTGCAAATACATCTCTCAAGGTTTAAGAAAGCTAAGCCAGGTCTTTCTGAAGACAGAAGTTGTGGCCTGAGTTGTGAATAAGGTTTGCATTATAGATACAGTACGAGCATTGATAGCTGCCCATGTCCCTGATGTGTACACTGACACTCAGTGTGGGCTTCTTGTCTTTCTGGAAGTGAAGCCTACATTAACCCACAAGGTTAAAGGAAGCCCAGATTAGGGGCAATTTTCTGCAATAGCTACATAATTAGAAATAAAGTGTATTGGTTTATTTACTGAGACAAATGGAGGGGAAAATGTGCCTCATGAGCAGGCAAATTAAGAGCAGAGCTGCCATAAACTACTGGATGCCTCGGCATGAGCAGGTGGGCAAGACTTTGTAAGGAAACCCAGCGAATGACTGCAGACGCTATCTCTGTCAGAACAAGCTATTATTGTCATAAATTCTCAAACTGAAAAGTACAAGGCCTTTTCTGTAGCCACAGGGTTATTGCACTATTTTTTTTTTTTTTTGAGAAAGACTGAAATTGAACTTTTGGTGCAGGTTTTTCAGTCTGCGGCCAAGAGGAGACAGCTGCTGTAAAAGCAGAAATGAACTGCTGAGAGCAGGAAGAGCTGTCCCTCAGGGACTAGCTGATCAAAGCAGCTGCTGATAGACTGTGATGGAAAGTTTCTTCCAGCTCTCCTTCGCTAGAAGAGGCAAAAGTTTCTAAGGAAGAAGGCAGGAGGAAAGAAAGTGGGGCTGCAGGAGGCCAAACCACAAATATATTGGATTGACTTAACCAACACTTTATTAGGAATTCTCATCTTAACATGGGCCCTTCAAGGAACAGATAAGAACCTCGCCTAATCTTCAAGCCTTAGTAGCTGTGCCTCATTAGAGAGGGAGAAAATGGGGCCCGAAAATACCTTAAACAGCTTGGTGGGAGAAGAGAAACTAACTAAATTCCACTATCTCTTGTTTTCTTCAGGCCTCTCTGGATAGAGTTTCCAGAGAAAATAGACACTTTCAGTGTGGAAAATGAGTATATGCTGGGTAAGTAGATGATCCCTCATTGTCTAGAATTTAAGATAATTTGAGACCTGATTGTCACAGATGACTTGTGAGCACTTCGAAAATAGGAATCATCTGAGATGCAAAAATTGAGGTCAGTCTCACTAGTCATTTTTTTAAAAAAAAAACAGCCATTATTTTGACTTGAAAGATGGAAATTCATTTACTGTAGCAGCCAAGACCACAGTCTGCTTCAGAAATGACAGCAGCAACCAATTGCCATTCAAAGCTGATTGTTTTTTTCCTGTGATACATCTGGCTGCTGAAGTCAGTGCTTTCAGAAATTAAGCTCAGGAGATGAACATGTTTATATGATGCATGTTCAGCTTCTGAGAGAAGAAAGATGGGGCCGGAAGGGGTTCTTTTCCTTTCCTTTCTTTTCACCCATAGGTTCAAGAGTGCCAACTAGTAACTTTCAAATGAAGGGACATTTATTTCTCTTGCACGAGTCTGACCAGGGTGGGCAGGAGAGAGTAGCAGATCCAAGTGAGGGAAGCAGAGCGTCACAAGAGCCCGTGAAGTTCAGTTTGCATCACAGATAGGCACGGAGGGGAGAAGTTTATCGAAGTGGATATTGCAATATGCAGTCTGTATACATTAGCGTATTTTGGGGAGTAAAGTGTAACCATCCCATGCTTAAGCAGAATTTGTTTGATAGGAGCAGTCCCTTCTTCTGCTCTTTTGTTTAGAAGAGCTTGTTCTTTCTTTCAAGCAAAGCACACACCAAGAATGCATCTCAGACTGAGGGACCCACGAGAGCCTTCGTGCTCCAGGGTGTGAAGTGTAGCCCAGCATCCTCCTAGTACCAGACACACCCAAGCAGCCTTCAGCTCTTCACGTGTTTGTTAATCTCCAACAGAAAGCAAACATAAGCTCCTGGCATGGGCTGGGCAACTCCCCAGAGTGTATGTGGGAGGTTGGCAACCCCAGAGCGCAAAGCTACCACTCTGTTAAGATGCAGCCTTAAGGATCACAGCAGTCACTCATGGCTATGTGTGTTTTTTTCCAGGAAATGCTTTGCTGGTGCATCCCGTCACTGAGCGAGAGGCTGAGTCAGTGAGTGTTCTGCTTCCTGGGTCAGAGGAGGTGAGGTTGAGTAAGAAGCTGCTCAGCTGTTCAACCAAAGAAACATTTTATGCTGCAGTCTCCCTGCTCCTCACCTCATAACCGTTAAGTGGTGCTGCCTCTGTTATACGGTGGTAACAGCTGTGCTGTACCCATCATAGTCTGCTGCTCTGGACTTCCATCTTGATACCTCACGCCACTGGCTCACAGCAGACTTGCTTTCTTGCTTTTCCAAGAGCCGCTGCACAGATCTCCCCTCTCCTCTAATTTAAGCTTCGCCTCAAGACTCAGTGCTTCTTTTGCAATGGCAAAAACCCCACGAGGATAAATTGTCATTTCCTTTCTTTCACATGTTACTCTTATGGTTGAACTTCACTTCTGCATGGAAGAAAAGGGATTTTTGAAGGGACATTCATAAGAAAACCAGAGGGAAGCTGGGGAAAGAGGAATTACAACAAAGAAATACAAGCCTCAGTAGCCTAGGTCATGCATAGGAAACACCGATGTGTAGAGAGACCAGTTTCTCTCTGAAGTCAAGTTATTCATCCACAGGATGGCACTGTGATCCACTCGTGCACAAAGCATTTTGTTTCAGCAGCTGGGAGGTGGAGGAAGGGAAGGAATCTGGGATATATTTCCCAAGGAAAAGTGAGATTCAGCTCTAGAGACAAATGAAAGATAGCAGCAAAGTGGAGGGTGAAAGCCTTGTGACTGTACTAATGCAGCCAAAGACACTAGCAATCCTTATGTCAATACAAGGGAAGAAAAGACTAGACTGTCCAAACAAGCTAAGAAAAGTAGCTTATCAATAAGCTTATTCTGTGTCTTTATTATTGTTATTTTCTTATGTCATTGTTTGGCACTTCTCTGTGCTTTAAGATGTATGCAAACTGTAGAAAACAGCAGCCTAATTTTATGACTCAGGAATGACAATTTATTCTTTCTCTTCAGAATCTCAATATACTTTAAAAGTATGTGCAACTCCTTGCACCTCAAAGTTGGTAAGGTCAGTGAGAGTACAAGATGGAGTGAAAGAGCAACTGCCCCTGAAAAGGGAACAGATCGTTTCATAGATGTGTTGGGCTCAATATTTTCTTCATTTTTTTTCCCTAGGTTTGGTATGATTTCAGGAAATTTACACGCATGGAAGCAGCAGGCACTCTGAAGATCCCAGTAACACTGGAGAACGTATGCTTTTATTGTAGAATACTACTTTCACTGAGCTGAAAAAAAAAACAGGCTTTTTTGTAAAGCACACAAAAATCTGAAAAGTGACATTTCAATTTCCCTGTAGGACTGTAATATAAAACAGCTTTTGGAGAGAAGTGTCTGTGTTACCTTTAGACAAAACCATTCTAAAACTGAAAACCGATGCTACTAGCAGAGCACAGACAGCTGGAAGGTTAAATTATGGTTAAAATGAATTCCAGTGACATCCTGCCCTACCTCTTAGCGACCTGTCAGGGCCTGTCTAGACACAGAAATTATGGCACACTCATCCTGGGTGTGTATTTCTCCTAAGCTGCACTAATGCCCCAGCAGATTTAGAATGAGTTAGTTTACTGGGTTTTTTTTCCTTCAAAATAAAGTGCAAAACTTTTCAAAAATGCTCATAGAGACATGTCTGCATAAAGTAATTGCAGCTAAGTGGATTTGGACATTATTGCATTCTAGATAATCTGCTACTTTGTGGATAAACTTCAACATGGAGTCAGAACAAACCTGTAGAAAAAGATAAATGAGCAATTTTCTACTACCGAGCATCAAAAGTCTCCACATTAGGAGTCTACTGGTCTGTGGTGGCAATATTTGATCAAAATACGTGAAGTAAAATAAGTTTTTCAACAAGCTTAGCAACTGAGAAGCTCCCTTTGGCCATCCAATATTGTTGGCTTTGCTGTGACAGACCCACTTGAGTAAGACACTTAGCCAGATGCACCTAGGACCCCAGTGCACGTACACTGTAAGTGCTCTTGTCCTTCAG